TACACTAACTAGGAATGCTTACTTATTTTTTTTTTTTTTTTTGACTAAATGTGACTTTTTTCCCTTCAAGTTTGAAATTTCATTGTGGCCTCACCCTACCCCTGGGGGTCATGATTTTGAACAAACTTGAATCTACACTACCTGAGGATGCTTCCATATAAATATGACCAACCATGACTGTGTTGTTCTTGAGAAGAAGATTTTTAAGGATATTTCCTATATATTCCTATGTTAAACTTTGTCCGTCCATTGTTGCCCCACCCTACCCCCCGGGGTCATGATTTGTACAAACTTGAATCTACACCACCTGAGGATGCTCCCATATAAATATGACTAATCATGACTTTGCTGTCCTTAAGAAGATTTTTAAAGATTTTTCCTATATACTCCTATGTTAAACTTTGATCATCCAATGTGGCTCCACCCTACCCCCGGGGATCATGATTTGAACAAACTTGAATCTACTCCACCTAAAGAATGCTTCCATATACTAGTAATTATGACTAATCATAACTTGGCTGTTCTTGAGAAGAAGATTTTTGAAGATTTTTCCTATATATTCCTATGTAAAACTTTGACCGTCCATTGTGGCTCCACCCTGCCCCTGGGGATCATGATTTGAACAAACTTGAATCTACACTACCTGAGGATGCTTTCACATAAATATGACCAATCATTGCTTTGCTGTTCTTGAGAAGATTTTTAAAGATTTTTTCTATATATTCCTATGTAAAACTTTGATCATCCATTGTGGCACCACCCTACCCCTGGGGGTCATGATTTGAAGAAACTTGAATATACACTACCTGACAATAATTCCAAATAAGTTTCATCTCTCCTGGGCCATTGGTTCTTGAGAAGAAGATTTTTCAATGATGCCATTAATTTTTCACTATTTCGTAATTATCTCCCCTTGGAGGAGGGCATGGCCCTTCATTTGAACAAATTTGAATCCCCTTCACCCAAGGATACTCTGTGCCAAGTTTGGTTGAAATTGGCCCTGTAGTTCTGGAGAAGAAGATGAAATTGTGAAAAGTTTATAACGACGACAACGCCGATGACAGACAACAGACAGATTTCGATCAGAAAAGCTCACTTGAGCCTTCGGCTCAGGTGAGCTAAAAAAACAACACATAAGGTCTGTTAAAAATCACTGTTGTTTTATGAATACCTTTGCATCTAGAATGGCTTGACCAATTTTGCTGAGAAAATCCACTCCTGCACCAAGTCCGACAACATCCACCCAAACACTAATTCCATTTATCTCTAGGTTCTCTGAAATGAACAGGTATACTTCAAGTGATCATGTCTGAATAACACATACATGGTATCCCCCCTCACTGGTCAGCAAATAAACCCCCATCTCCATAAGTACAGATACAAATAATTATATTCACTTTGAATGATGGCAAATCCCAGTTGATAAGATCTCAGATTGAAGCTTACCTCTCTTTGTGCAGTTACTGTATTCATTGGAATGTTTTTTTTTCTTTCCTTTTTAAATTTATAAATTTTTGTCAGACTTACCTCTTAGTTTAGCCATCATTTCTTTGTCCTGGTGACTGTAGCTGATCATGAGATCTCGGTTGGAAACAGACTCCTGTCTCTTTAAATCTGACTTGTCCGGATTTTCTGGAACTTCATGAGGAGAAAAAGTGTTTTCAGATTTCTCAGTCCCTGTTGATTGAGTCTTTGGCTGTGTGGACTTGATTGTAGTGGGGGTCTCCTTTTGTCTTGTGCTGGGTTTTGAGCCCATCTTTATTCTATCAAAACAAAATAGTAGGGCAAGTTTATTACACATGAACTTATAATATGAAATGGCAAATTTACAGAAAAAACTTGAAATAAAAATAAAAAAGCACTCTTATCACTAATATCAAAACAACGAAAATGGATATGGGTTGAATAAAAAAAATTATATCCTACCTATTCTTTTTCAGAAAAAAGAGTTCTCAGTAATACTTAACATGTATTCAAACACAACCAACATTTCAAGACCATTTGAAGTCTACCGTCCTAAACATACTGGGGTCATTTTATACAAAGTCTTATTTTATCCAATCAAGCTAGTTCAACGTTCAACCAAGTACATGTGCATGGCAGGGGTAGACAAATAGAATTTTTCAGTACTTGCCCTCGGACAGGTTACCATCGTAAAATTACTTGTCCTACCAAAAAATATGCTTGTCCCACTTTTTCTTAATTAACATAAAAATAAAGCATTATCGTTAAACATTAAATTATTTCTCAACTGATACACTACATGGGGACCAAACTAGACATAAAATCACTTAATTTTTTGCACGGAAAAATTTAGGGGTAAGTCTTGTTCCAGGGAGATTTCTTAGCTTGTGCAGTGCGCATAATTTAAACTTTTCTCTGTATTACTTTAACATCCCAAAAATACTGAAAGAGAGAGAAAATTTTTTTTTGAATATTATAAAGTATTTGATTATGAAAACCACCACTGCATGTCGATTGTGACTTTCAGTGATCGCTAGTCAACAGCTCCAATTTTAATATCAGTATAACACGTTTGTACTCACGGCATGAATTTTTACATTATTTTTTACAATACCTAAAAAGGTCTAAAATCCTCTTCAACTTTTTTGGCATGGAATCGATAGCTGCTATGTTTTACGTCCTGTGTGTATTTTAACTACACATAAATGGGTAAATTCTAGAGGAGTTCCGACCAAGTATTCGATGTAGTGATGAACAGCAGCGAAAAACAGGTGCTCTACTGTGATTCATTACATTTCAACAGCGATAAAACAAACTACATTTGATTTTTTGTTAACTGGAGAAGCACTTGTCCGCGGGCAGGTACCACTTATCAAATAACTTGCCCGCCAAACAAAATTGGTTGTCCCGGGCGTCGGGCAATGCTATTTGTCTAGCCCTGCATGGCACATGCAGACAAAAAAAAAATAATAATAAAAGGCAATTCACATTATCTGATTTGGTTTTATTTCATATTTTGTACATATTGATATCAAGCACAATTTACAGCAGGCAGTAGACATGGTAGAAGAATTAACGCTTCACAAAACATTTGCTGGGTAAGTGGGTCTCCACTGACACAACACACACAACCAAAACACTGCCTTAAACTTGTACTATAACTTATTTAACAGCTTAAATAAAACTTTTCCATACTCTGTCGGTTGATTAACAAGGCAAATACCATTACTCTATTGTATTTTTCGTTTATAAATTGCAAAATCTTTACGAGACTGAAAATCTTTGTCTAAAATCTACATCTTTTAGCGTAATCTCAGTGAGATTCGTCGAGACTAAAATTTCAGAAGAGACGTCTGTCCAAAATTTTCAGTCTCGACGAATCTCACTGAGATTAATTTTAGCGAAGTGGCCCGGGTTTCAAAACACATTACATATAAACATTATTTGTTAATTTTCATGTATTCCATGAATTTATGTAATTTCGAAATACAAAAAAAAATATTTAGAATTTAGCACAACGCTACTTGCCTGTGAAATTTTGACTTATTAATCCCTCATTGTTTACATTGGTTATTTGTCAATTTTGCCTACTTTCGTTTTCACTGTATAATTAACTCGCGTATAAATTATTCTGCTACTTCGAGAAATGGAAGGGAAAAAAAACCCAGTTTGTAATTTAAAAAAACCCAATATTATTCCCCTTTGAATACATTTTAATTGCAAAATTATATGCATAGATATTTATTTAAAAATTACTTCGATTAAATTTAGCTTGATCATAATATGAAATATCAGGAAAGAAACCTCTCCCCAAAAATAGGCCCAGGTCTTTTATACTTTTTTTTCAAAAAATCTTTGTGATATCTAATCCGTAACACTGAGATTAAGTCCCAAATCACATTAAAAAGCAAACAGTCACTTTTTAAATCTAACTTTTCCTAATTGTTCTTTAATAGAAGGGGGGTCCTAACCCTAATCTCAGTGAGATTTGTCTATACTAAAAAATTTTGTATTGACGTCTCTTCCCGAAGAGACATCTGCAAAAAAATTTTTAGTCTCTACAAATCTCTCTGAGATTATTCCAGTTGGATCTTTATTCATTGTAAGCAATTAGTGAACCAATCCTTCCCCTTCCCTGACTGATTTGTTAAAATTTACAAAAAAAACAGGATTTTCTTTTGTTAGACTTCATCCTACTACATTAATTCGTTGACAGGAATAACTTAAGGGGAGTGAAATCCAGTATTCGTATAACTATGTGACTCATACTAATGTTACAAGCTTAAGGAAGCTTGGAACAGGAGGTTTGTCTTCCTCTTGTACACTTGTCAAAATTAAGGTCACAGGTACCAAAATATCAATGTTCTATCTAGCTGAACAAGCTTGAACCATTTCAATGTTTGGCTAGAACATTACTTTGTAAATCAGCAAATAGGACTTGAGCTTTCCTATCTTCAATACCATGAGCATGTCAAGGTGATTTGGAAGTCCCAATGCAACAATACTTATTCATTAAGTATTTTACCCTCGATATCTCAAATCCTCGGCTAACTCAAAGTTTTTTCTCTGTCCCATCGAGTTCAAGATAACGAGGTTTGACTGTAGAATATACTAGCTAATATTGAATAGTTTCAGAGATACAAACTCTGGAAAAAAATTTCATCAGATAGACAGACAGACATGGTGATTCAAGTATACCCAAACTTTGTTTGCTGGAGATAAAACTATTGCACATGTACAATTGCAGCTACTACTCTGATTGAGACTTTATAATTTATATTTTTATCTGATTCAATGTCTCATATTGTTGAAAATAAATATTTTTACTGATTATCAGTCCACACCCAATATTTTTTGGACTGTTCTTACTGCTCTCTTAATAAATAATACTTTAACATCAAGAATTACATAGAGAGCAATATGGACAATAAGCCCCTGTGGACTGGCTGGCATTGCTGAAAATATCAATTTCATGAACAAATCAATTTGTATCACTACTTTTAATGATTGACTGAAAAATAAAAAAAAATGTATCATGCTAAAAAATGAATGATTTATTTTGCATATATGAATTATTTACAATATGCATTAATACCTGCGGAAAAGATCAAGTTTCCATGGTAGGCAAAATGATACACTACTTTACATGAAATCTGTCATAAACAGGACATAATGCACAATAAATTCTGCAAGAAATGTGACATCTGTGACATCTACACGAGTAAAACAACATGATTATTCATTATAATACAACATATAATTAATGAGCTTAGAATTTAAGGAACTAAATGTTTCTTGATCATATCAGTGATTGGCTTGTAGTCATCCGGGAACTTCAATTTCCTGGGAGGACCTTTCTTGATACCAGTCCAAAGTGGAACCTCTGTTATAAAACAAAGCAAACAATTAAATATAATCTTTGGACAGTGATAGACATGCTTATTACATGTGTGGAGGTCAGACAGGTTCAATCGCCGGTGGCCAGATAACTCAGTTGGTAGAGCACCTGACTGGAGATTCATGGGGCCCGGGTTCGAATCCTGTTTTGGTCCGTTGCATTCTTCTCCTCTCCTGTTACACATGTATGTGTGTCACAGACAGGCAGGATTTCCAGGAGTACATCATGTTTATCTAGAGTTAAGGGGCACAGGTTTGAATTCTGTATTGATCTGTAGTTTAATAATTCTGTTTCACTGAAAACTTTACTAATACAATTTTGCAAACTTTCTCAAGTAGTGTAAATGTCACAATATTGTAAATATTGCTCCAAATGCTCCTCCATACATTGTGGAGTGTTTAACTTTGCACGCATCGATGGTCACTGAATTGTAGCATAAAGAGCTGTGGCATCGCTTGGTAAACCCGTTTGTCAAGTCTGATGATATTAATAGTTACACTTATCCAGGGTTTTGGCCAGGTTTGTCAGATTAGTTCTGGACACCAAACTGTGTGGACGGTGTAAAATTATGACCCATGCTTAGTGGATTGGGCGGCTCCCATGCTGTGTGGAAATGGGATGCATTACTGGTACCTGTGTGGACCATTTGAAACCTGGGCCTTTTGTTTTTGCATTTATGAGTGTGAGTGACTACAATCCAGTAAGTGTTATTTTGGGAGACGTGTTAGTGACCATTCTGTGACATTATGGTATTGCACTAGCTTCTTGTGTGTTTCATCTGATGTCTACTGTGCGCCATTCATCTGATGTCTCCTAAGCCTCGATACCACTGGAGCCCGAGTTATATTTTGATTTTTTTTTGTACATTTGTAAATAAATTGTTATTGTTATAAAGTATTGTTTTTCTTGATTGGCAAAGGTTATCCATTTACTAGACTGGTAAAGGTTTTTTTTTTAAAGAACCCAACACAATTGAAGGCAATTGTGACATTTTGGTGGCAGCGGTGGGATGTCACAATTGCCTTCAATTGTGTTGGGTTCTTTTAAAAAAAAACCTTTACCAGTCTAGTAAATGGATGACCTTTGCCAATCAAGAAAAACAATACTTTATAACAATAACAATTTATTTACAAATGTACAAAAAAAATCAAAATATAACTCGGGCTCCAGTGGTATCGAGGCTTAGGAGACATCAGATGAGTTCACACAGGTTGGTGTCCAGAACTAATCTGACAAACCTGGCCAAAACCCTGGATAAGTGTAACTATTAATATCATCAGACTTGACAAACGGGTTTACCAAGCGATGCCGCAGCTCTTTATGCTACAATTCAGTGACCATCAATGCGTGCAAAGTTAAACACTCCACAATGTATGGAAGAGCATTTGGAGCAATATTTACAATATTGTGACAGTAAATCTAAGTTGGTTTAGAGCAGGTTAGGTGCCCAGGGGCAATGGAGGAGCCACAACAGGTGACCATTAAGGCCCCATGATTCTCCCGTCTTCCATCCTGTTACACATACATTTAACAGTTCATAATAACTGGTTGGATACTCCTTAGTATGGATCTGTCTGACACCTACATTAAAGGACAAGTGCACTTAAGCAATGCTTAATGGGCCCTTTTTCAGTGCCGTTTTACTTTAGAATATAATACCAAATTGTTCTTTTTTGGTAATAGTTAAACACAAGTGGATATTTCTAATTAAAATCACGTTAAAACATCACCTAAATCAGCATGGATTTGAAACAAATGAAGATTTTTAAATGCCTATAGATACCCAAAATCCGGAAAAGTTGTACCGAACCTATTTTGAGTTTCGTTTATTTAAATCAAGGGGAGGAGATATTCAAATCAGACACTTGAACAATCACTGACGGGCACGTTTTCTGAATGATACTTCTTGCGCTATTTTACCTGAGAAAAAAATTGAATGAAGTTGTATAGATGCCTGTAGCCATAGTGATCAAACTAAGAAATTTGCACACTTGCATTTGAAATAATACAATAAGTATTAACATTAGTTCCTTTAAATTATAAAATGAAAAAAAGTGTATTTAGGTAGTTTTCAATACCGGTACCATTGCCTTGCATGAATGTTAAAAAAGTTTGATGCTTGTATATATGATGAAAAATTTTAATGACACTAAACTCTCCTAAACCTCCTGTGTTTATAAAACCAAACACATACAAACTTCTGCGGCACGACTTCGATATAATGATACATGCATGGCTATCATTTACAGTGAGCACCTTTGAGGAACGTTTACATGGGTAGAACTCACGTGACTATACCGGTATTTTAAATAATTTATTCCACGGGTGGGTTCAACATAGGTCATACAGGTAAATAGCTTTCACTTGCTATAGGAAAAACATTGAACTTTTCATTACATTTTTAATATTTTAAGTACAAGCCTAATTGTACAAATTTCCTACTTTCACACAAGTTTTATAAATGTATAATGCACTTTTTGTCATTCACACAAGTTTGTACAATGTTAGGCTGACAGTAAACAAAAGCTTTGAAATGAATGACTGTCCTCGATTTACTATAGAAAACCACGAATGTCGGCTGACCCCTACCACATTGTATGGCTTTGCTCTTTGTATATTCATGAATTTCAGCGATAAAATTTGTTGAATCTTATGGTTTAGATATCAATTAATGATCTGGGATGAAAAATTATGCTTAATTTGATTCTTCATTTTTTCACATTTTACCGGGCCCCATAAGTGCACTCGTTCTTTAACTGGATCTTTTAAAACAATATTTAAATACATATATTCAAAGTTCACCTCAATCCTGAAATTTGACTGTCATTTCAATCCAAGCTGCAACCATAATTATACGTGTTTCAAATGCAGAATAATCAGCATAAGTGTAATAGACTAATAACTACAGTAAAACTTGTCTAATCCAGAAACCACTGGTTCCAAAGAAATTGGCTGCATTAGACAATGTTCCGGATTAGACAACATTATTAAACAATGAAATTTACTGAAAGGGACTTCAAGGTTTAGATCGTATTAGGCAAAATTCCGGAATACACAACATCTGGATTAGACAAGTTTCACTGTATATAGAAAATCTAGTACCTCCTGTGTCTCCAACTACTAAGGTGACCTCAAAACTTCCTCTCCGTGGGGCAGAGGGATTATACTCAATGGGAATATCCTCAACCTCGGCCTTCAATGCCTCAGCCAAAGCCATGGCCTTCTTCTTGTACACTTGTCAAGATTTGCTGGTTAAAAAAAAATTAAAAATCCAAAAATTTATTTATATATACAATTTTATCTCAAATACTGATAATCTATTTCATAAACTACAGTGTTCCAAGGAATGCATTAGCCTGCTTTGTAGCATCATTAAAGATGTAAATAAATCTAAGAGTGGTCAGCTATTTATTTGCTCTATATATATAGTATCATAGTTCGTGCATTTGCCTGCATAAAAAAATCCATGCGTATAGAAAGACTTTGATAGAATAGCAATTATCATAAAATGTGACAATTAAATAAAAACATGATTCCCCCATGCTCAAAGCTTTAACGAATAATGAAATTTAAATAATTAGAAATAATTATTAACCAACAATCCCCTAGATTCATGACTAGAGAGAGATTTCAGTCAGTCTTTACTACAATTGTCAGTCTACAGCAATCCTTTTCGGTATACCAATCCTGACGTCTTTTCATAGTATTTAAATTTCAGTTTGTGTAGTAACTGTACATTATAACATTTCAAAGTACAGTGTCATGAGCTCATAGAAATGTGATTATAAACTAGTTATAGAAACTCTTTCTCTTTAAATTCAGAAGACAAGTTTTGATTTAACCGTTCGAAGTAATTTTGCAAAGGAGCTCAAAGGTCAAGGTCAAGTGGACTTTCATGCTGGCATTTTTTAGGATATCTTATAACAATCAGTGCACATGCTAAATAGCACAGCTCACCTTTTAATTCTCAAAAATAAGCTGTATATCGGCTCTATGAACTATTTTGAAAAGAAGGTCAAAGGTCATGTTTAAAGGTCATGATGTAGGTAACCTTGGTATTTTACAGAAGCCCTAGTACCAAGCTATATATATGCAAAATATTAAATCCATACCTCTTACAGTTCTCAAGATTAGGGTGTGATAGACGGACAGACAGACTCCAGGTATAGTGATCCCTAAGTGACACTCTGCTCTGCAGGTGACAAAATAAAACATGAAATTGGGTTGGTCTAGTCCTACTCTCTTTAGAATCTGCTTAAATAGTTTCCTACATTTGGCAAGGTCTCACTCCTTATGAGTGACTTATCCTTGAGAAGTAATTTTTTAAAGACTTTTCACTATATTTTCCCCAAGGAAAAACTGATCCCCTATTATGGTCCCACCTTACCCCACAGGCCACAAATTGAACAAACTTAAAACTACTCTAAATGAAGATGCTTGCATATTAATATATTATTGCTAATCAAGGACCTAATGCTCTTAAAGATTTCATTTTTCCCCCTGTATCTCATATTTTATATATGAGAGAAGATTTTTACAAGAGCCCACCTTATTTTTCCTTTTTCTTGGAACAGCGTATTGTCCTTCATTTATTGGCCAAACTTGAATCCCCTTCACCCAAAGATGCTTTGTGTAAAGTTTTGTTGAAATTGGTCCAGTGGTTCTTGGGAAGAAGATAAAATTGAGAATATTGGAAGTTTATGATGATAACTGTTGATAACAATGACGATAACAGACAACGGACAGGTTTTGATCAAAAAAGTTCACTACAGTTGAGCCTTTGGTTCAGATGAGCTAAAAAGTACCTCACACTTTTCCCTCCCTTATCCAATACATTTTTCTTTGTGTGTGTTCCAACTGATACTACATATGTAGGTGACTGCATTATTTGTGTATACGTCTATATGTTCCGCCATGTGTGAAACATTTATGCGAGCTCATGCAGACATAGTATGTGAGTTGGTATGGGAGAGAAGATGGGATTGAAGAGCATGAGAAAAGATGGAGGAGGGAAATTACATGTTACGAGTGAGAGTAAAGAAGAGGGAGAAAAGGGAAAGAATATGATAGTTCAGGAATAAAATAGGACGGAAAGCACCCCACCTATCTAATCCACAATTTTTACCAGGGACCTATATACCTTAATTAGTATATATTAGCGTAGGTCCGTTATTATATGCATGTGTCAATATAACCACCCATGCACCCCCTCCCCCGCCCAAAATAAGAAACTATTCTATGGTGCAGCCAAGATGAAAATTGTTCTTTGAGGTAGTTAGCTCAGCTCTACATACCACATGCAGTAACCTAGATGGTGAGTAATGCATATTCCAAAAACTTAATTGAGAACTTGAATTATTTTTACCAGTGTTCTATGACAACTCTAGGAACAGGTGCACCTGTCTTTACTTTCTTCTGATCCGATATTTTATCAAAGCTTTCTGTCGGATTAGAGGCAGTTTTTCGTTTTCTTGGGGGCATGATTCTCTGCAATGGTAGATTGGATCTTAACCGAGGATGTCCGAAAGATTTTCGCGGGAAGTTGTGTGGAGTATGGAGGTACGTGAGATGAATTTACTTTTTGCGAACCCACTTTCTGATATTACTAAATGATTAAATATATTTACATATTCCGTAGTATAACGTTAAACAAATGATATATTAACATGATTAAGTTGAGCATCGCAGGGTTGTTGCCAGATTTCTAGGGAATGGGGTGGGGTGGGGTCTGAGTTTAACAGTTTAATGGTATCCCCTCCTTTGAGCAAGAAATGAATTTATTTTGTTTCAGAATTATAAATAATTTATGTCTCTGGTTTTTCATCTTTAACAAAAAGGGGAGGGGAGGGATTGTATCTTTTGTAATCCAGGACTAATCGGTGCAGTTAATTGCGGGAAGGTTAATCCATAGAACATGTGGAGTGGGATTAAGGAGTGGACAACTCCGATTATTTCGCACGCCGACCGACCGAAGTTTTGCAATAATGTCCTCGCCAACAGTAAACAAAATATCAACTCACGTTCCTTCATTGGATGAAGTAGTAAAAGGTCAGGTTGAATTGGGTATTTTGTGCAGAAACGTTAGTTCAGGTTGTCATGGCGTGATTTAGGAATATTCATGGAGTAAAGAATAAAAAAATATAAGGGGGGGGGGGGGTGAACGCATGTAGAGGATCGAGGAGTTATCTGTCATGTGCGAGCCCAAGAGATCATATTTGCATAAAGTACATTTTATGCATTTGTTTTGTAATATCAGGGATCTATCTGCAGTATATAGGCATAGGGGCTTGTCTTCTGGATTGTTAAATGTAAAATAAATTAATAAAATTTTTTAATCTACTTTAGATACACTTAAAAGTTGTTAAAGTAAAGATTCTGACACTTTCAATCAAGAAAAAACACGTTTAAAAAAGACATATCACTCCTATATATACATAAACTCTACAAAGGACGAAAGCTCTTTCTTGGAAAAAATACCCCCACCCACTTCAGCACCTATTTCTGGACTCTAAAGCATTAATTTATTTCATTGTCATGGTTCGTCGCAAACCACGCCCAAAATATACGATCCTCTCCCATTCTGGCCGTGGTTGAATGAGAAGAGAATATTTTGTAGCTCATTAAAATATTGACCAATGCGAGTAAAGCGTAGTTGGATAATGAACTTTGACATGACCTTTCAATATCCAATCGCAGTATACAAATATTTCTTGTATACTGTTGATGTCAATTATTAGTCCCCTACCGGTGAAACCGGAGGGGACTATAGGTTTCCTCTGAGTCTGTCCGTCCGTCTGTCTGTCCGTCTGTCTGTCCGTCTGTCTGTCTGTCTGTCCCTCTGTCTGTCTGTCAGTCTGTCCCACTTGGTTTTCCGCACTTTTTTCCTAAACGCTTGCAGATATTGAGCTGATTTTTGGTATGTGAGTGTATCTTGATGAGTTACAGATCAAGTTTGCATTTCGTTCCGCTTCATTGATTTTTGACGGAATTACGGCCTTTTCAATTTTTACGGGTTTTCCGCAATTTTCTTTTAGAAAATTTTCTTTCAGATATTGAGCTGATTTTTGGTATGTGACTTTACCTTGATTAGTTATAGATCAAGTTTGCATTTCGTCCAGCCTCATTAATGTTTGACGGAATTATGGCATTTTCAATTCTTAACGGGAACCAGATTACACTTGCCGGTAGGGGACTAGTATTGCTAATGCAATACTCTCAGAATGCTTGTTGATTTCAGTTGCGATGGAAACAAATATTGTCATTGGACATGAACATGCTGAACATGACGTCACAATATAGAAGAGTAAATATTTAAGATTATGACACTTTTTGTGATCAAGCAGCCATGGGTAGGAGAGAGCTATATGCGGACTCTGGACTGTGGCTTGAGACGATGACAATCCGGGAGACAAGCCCCTATGTATAAAGGTCCCTGGTAATATCTGCCTTATTTTATTGTATGTTATGTCTTCACTGAATGAGCTGATAGCGAAATGCTTAACTAAACCACTTTGTCAAATAAAAAAAAAAAAGAAAGAAAAAGTAAATGGGAAACATGATTTTTATGAAAGTACATGTGTACTTGTATCTAACAATGAAGAGGTCCACGTCAGTGTAACATTCGGAGTAAATTACTGACACCTTTTGTATGTTTGTTCATTTTTGTTTGTTTGTTTGATTTTGTTATTGTTGTTTTGTTGTTGTTGTTTTTTTTTTTGTTTTGTTTTGTTTTTTGGTTGATCTTGCTATGTACCTCTGTCTGTAAGAATTTTTATGAAGTTTTGGAATCCAATATAGGTATATGGTTATTCAAAATCAATTTGGTTATTAGCAATATTGAAAATAACTGACATGTGATTTTGAAGAATCTCTTTTTGAATCAGGTTGCTTGATGCTTATGGGTGTAATATATTGCAATAAAGATTTTTATTTATTGTAGTATTGAATGATGGACTGAAGAAAAACTTTACAAATGTCTCGGTATCTGTTGTGGATTGTCCAGACTTAACACAGAAGCCATTCATGTTGGCCTCATCAGGTAAATTAACATGTCTTAATTCCTAGTTATTCAGAATGAAAAGCACAAAAAATATGTACATTTTCAAAATTATTTCTGCTTTGTCTATAAATTTCCTGCAAAACAAGCAAGCTAAATGAAACACTGCTTTATGCTCTTCCACCCATAAGAATGATGGATCAACCCCTGGATCTTTTGTAATCACTTTTTAATTAGTTGCTATTTTTATTAAAATTCCAGGTTATCACTGTACCAGCAATCCAGAACACTCTTTAATAATATTTCTACTTTTGTTTGGACATGTTGTAGAGAAGGAAAAGGGGGGGGGGGGGAGATAACATGCATGAAATATATATGAATGTATAAAGAATTACATTACTCTTTTGAATGCAGAGATGTGATTGTATCACTATGAGTGATAGATAGCTAAACACTTTTAAAGAAGCTTCTTCCAGGATTATGATGGCGGAGACTATTAAATCCTTGTTTTTGCTCAGGTTTGTGTGGAAATGCTCGCTTGGCAGATGTAGGAGGACCAGGATTTCTTCTGCCACTTCCACAGAAGGACAAGGTATCTATAAATAAATAAAATGGGTTGTAGTAATAGTGGAAGAGATATTTTAAAAGATTTAGTATACTTTTTGCTCAAGTGTTGAAATTTTATGACAGAATAATGTATGATTTTTAGTTCTTGTTGTTTTTAAAATTACTACTACATGTAATTACTAATTTACTACATTTTGAAATAGTAGAGAGGTTATAAGCATTTGACCGTCTGCATCTACGTGTAAACCTTTTTTACAAGTACGTGTAACTAACATCTTGTTCTGTTTAACAAACTGTATGTGTACTGGTACCGTCGGTACGTGTAAAACGTCATTTCAACAAGTCACTTTACAATCCATTTGAATCAAATGATTCTATGACTTTGATTGAAAAAGATACATAAGTGTACTTAATAAACTCTCAACATCACAACAAACACCACCTGAAAATATATATTCCGTAATTTGAGTTTAAGAAGCTACTTGTTCTTACCTCTAATGAATCTACGTGTTGTGTACATTTTGTAGAATTATGCGGTATGCAAAACTGATGGCATAAATCGCAGTAAATTAAGGGATTTCCCTAACTACACGTAGATATACACGGTCATCAGCTTAACCTCTCCAATACTAAGCAAACAGAGCCAAAGAGTGATAATCTGCATATTGAAATTTCTTCAAAGAGTTGACCCTCATGCATGAGTTATGTTGTATATACTTACAGTGTGCAATATATATTAATTGCAATTGGCTTAAATTTTTTTTTTTTTTTTTTTTTTTTTTTTTAAGAAAAAATATAGTATATATATAATATAGTTTTACGTTCTTTTCTTTTAATAAGAAAACAAGCATTCTGAGAGTATTGCATTAGCAATACTAGTCCCCTACCGGCAAGTGTAATCTGGTTCGTTCCCGTTAAGAATTGAAAATGCCGTAATTCCGTCAAAAATTAATGAAGCAGGACGAAATGCAAACTTGATCTATAACTAATCAAGGTAAAGCCACATACCAACAATCAGCTCAATATCTACAAGCGTTTAGAAGAAAATTGCAGAGAACCCGTAAAAATTGAAAAGGCCGTAATTCCGTCAAAAATCAATGAAGCGGAACGAAATGCAAACTTGATCTGTAACTCATCAAGATACACTCACATACCAAAAATCAGCTCAATGTCTGCAAGCGTTGAGGAAAAAAGTGCGGAAAACCAAGTGGGACAGACTGACAGACAGACAGAGGGACAGACAGACAGACAGACAGATGGACGGACAGACTCAGAGAAAACCTATAGTCCCCTCTGGTTTCACCAGTAGGGGACTAATAACAACAAACAAAAATCTTTCAAGATATATCTTCAATCCAAATATTGCAAAAAGTAAACTTAGTTGTGTCCCTTTACGGAGTCAACCCAAAGGAACAAGCATTCTGAGAGTATTGCATTAGCAATACTAGTCCCCTACCGGCAAGTGTAATCTGGTTCCCGTTAAGAATTGAAAATGCCATAATTCCGTGAAAAATTAATGAAGCGGGACGAAATGCAAACTTGATCTATAACTAATCAAGGTAAAGCAACATACCAAAAATCAGCTCAATATCTACAAGCGTTTAGAAGAAAATTGCGGAAAACCCTTAAAAATTAAAAAGGCCGTAATTCCGGCAAAAGTCAATGAAGCGGAACGAAATGCAAACTTGATCTGTAACTCATCAAGATACACTCACGTACCAAAAATCAGCTCAATATCTGCAAGCGTTTAAGAAAAAAGTGCGGAAAACCAAGTGGGACAGACTGACAGACAGACAGAGGGACAGACAGACGGACAGACAGACAGACAGACGGATGGACAGACGGACGGACAGACTCAGAGGAAACCTATAGTCCCCTCCGGTTTCACCGGTAGGGGACTAACAAGCATTCTGAGAGTATTGCATTAGCAATACTAGTCCCCTACCGGCAAGTGTAATCTGGTTCCCTTCCTGTTAAGAATTGAAAATGCCATAATTCCGTCAAAAATTAATGAAGCGGGACGAAATGCAAACTTGATCTATAACTAAGCAAGGTAAAGCCACATACCAAAAATCAGCTGAATATCTACAAGCGTTTAGAAGAAAATTGCGGAAAACCCGTAAAAATTGAAAAGGCCGTAATTCCATCAAAAATCAATGAAGCGGAACGAAATGCAAACTTGATCTGTAACTCATCAAGATACACTCACGTACCAAAAATCAGCTCAATATCTGCAAGCGTTTAAGAAAAAAGTGCGGAAAACCAAGTGGGACAGACTGACAGACAGACAGAGGGACAGACAGACGGACAGACAGACAGACAGACGGATGGACAGACGGACGGACAGACTCAGAGGAAACCTATAGTCCCCTCCGGTTTCACCGGTAGGGGACTAACAAGCATTCTGAGAGTATTGCATTAGCAATACTAGTCCCCTACCGGCAAGTGTAATCTGGTTCCCTTCCTGTTAAGAATTGAAAATGCCATAATTCCGTCAAAAATTAATGAAGCGGGACGAAATGCAAACTTGATCTATAACTAATCAAGGTAAAGCCACATACCAAAAATCAGCTGAATATCTACAAGCGTTTAGAAGAAAATTGCGGAAAACCCGTAAAAATTGAAAAGGCCGTAATTCCGTCAAAAATCAATGAAGCGGAACGAAATGCAAACTTGATCTGTAACTCATCAAGATACACTCACCTACCAAAAATCAGCTCAATATCTGCAAGCGTTTAGGCAAAAAGTGCGGAAAACCAAGTGGGACAGACAGACAGAGGGACAGGCAGACAGACAGACAGACGGATGGACAGACTCAGAGGAAACCTATAGTCCCCTCCAGTTTCACCGGTAGGGGACTAAAAAGGGAAGAATATGATAAATTAATAATCTTTCCGTTCTTTATGCTGCCTTGAACATTATGCGTGATAAATTAATAGCAGTTTAAATATTTGTCTTTCAATGTATGTATAGCCACATTTTGTCCTAGGAAATTGCACTCAGGATACAAGGTGCGAATTATTTTTTATGTCAAATTATGAAGCTACAAAGGCTACTCTGAGAATTCTATTTGTTTGCCTGCCTCACTCCCCTCATCAAAGATGGTGGCCTTTGGACGTAACTTTTGAAAAGTATATTATGGACTGAGAGAGAAAGTGGCATCTTCAAAGAAAGTGGCGTCTTGTTTGAATTGAATAGAATTAGTCTTATATTGTTTTATTCTTTGTACAGAAGTTTACCTATAGTCAGATTGCTGAGGCTGTGGGACTGCCTGGTGCCTTTATGATAGGAGCAGGCGCTGGACCGTGTCATATTGTAGGGGTCAACAGCGAGGTCAGACTTTCTTCTCTTTTGTAGCATGAATTTTTACTCAATGTTCATAATTGTTTGTGCAATAAAAGTTTTGTTTGTTTTTTTTAATCAAGGAAAATTCCAGCACAAAATACAACATGTACGTGGTATTACTAGCCAAACAGTAGATACAGTAAAACATGCTTATAACGAAGTGCCAGGGATGAATGATTTTGCTTTATTATGAGTGTAATTATATCTGTTAGGTTTACAATAGATTTTAAAGTCATGAGGAATAAAAATTACTTTGCGATAAGCGTTTATTCATTACAAGCATGTTTGCTATAAGTGTGCTTAACTGTATTCCCAAAGTAAATTTCACAAAAAATATAGTTGTACTGTACATTTTGAGTTTTGCGTATGGCCTTTCTGTCTAAAGAGTAAATACAGGATAAAGGGGAATATTTGCCCCTGTTTTATTTTTGCCCTTGTTGCAAGTGGTGATTTTAAAACAGGGTGAACTTAAAAGAAAAACAGCATTATCTCTTTGATACAATTATATCTGGGCAAATTTAAAATGGGGCTAAATTGTTTGCAAGTGTGAAATGGCAAAAATAACATTGGGCAAACAATAACACTGATTACAGTATTTTCAGGGGGGGGGGGGGGGGGATGAAATAAAATCTCATTTTTGTATGTAAATTTACATTTTGCTCATATAACATGGAAATGTTTTATCATGCATTTAAACTTTCTAGAGTGCATTATTTTTTTTCTTTCTTTCTTTTTTTTGGCATGCCAAATATAAATAAACTTACTGATAAAAAAACTTTGTATTTAATTCATGTGTTTCAGCTGATGAAAAATGTCAAAATGGATGGTAAAGGTGGTGTGGCCAAAATCAACTCTCACATTGCTAAGGTTAACAGTCAGGTATGTGTACATGTACCATTTAGATTTGTGAGCTGTTTTTTTTTTTTTTCTAGAAAGCATTTACATGGGGAAGGGGGTATTTTGTTTCAGATTTGATATTGTCCTTCATGGAAGAATGGAAAACTGTGGCATTTCACAAAAACATAAAGAGCCAAAGAGAATTTTTGTAGAATTTTGAAAATGCTGCTCCAAAAATTTGAGCAAAAGTAAGGAGGTGGAGTGGGGGGGGGGGGGGGGGGGCAAAGTTATTGGAGTGTATGCAATATTTTATTAGAAATGAATATTTTAGAATTTTGTTTGTTGTTTAACAGGATGGAGGGTGTATTCTGGAAACCATTGATAAGCCCGAGTTTTCACTGATGGGAAATTTTCTTTGTTCTGATGGCCAGCCAGGAAAGGTACTATTTTTTTCTTCACGGATACACATTTTTTGATAAGCATACTTTAATGAATTTATCATTTTTTCTGATCCACAAAGTGTTCAGGTCATAAAATTTTAACTATTTTTTTCTTGCTGTCATTTTATCCAGTTTTACGTTTTTGTTTTAATATGCTTGTAGATGTTGAGTTGAATTATTTGATGAAGTGTTAATACAGATCAATTTTTAGTTCTCTGTGATCCATTTTAACAGAGGGCCCTTGAATGGCAAATATTAGGATGAAAATTGAATTAGAAAGGACATATTTGCTAGCTTTGCCAGAGTATATTTTGCCCATGATAAATTGCAGATCAAGTTCTGATTCAAATACCCGTTAGCCTACTTTTAAAAGTTCCTTGAATTTTAAAATACCCGGTATATTCAGCTTGGTTGAGAAATCAGTCCTGTTTTTGTAAAACATTTCTAGTTCTTTGTAATATGATACACTAAAACTATTATTAATCTTAATTTTACCTTGTTTTGTTGCTCTTTTCTTCTTTAACACAACTTGGATTAAATTAAAGGTTTAGGTTTTGAGGTGAACATCAGTTATCTCCTCTTTCATTCACTACCATACATTTGTTTGAAACTAAATGAAGAAAAATAAGATCTGGGAGCTATTTATCATGTTTTTGTTAAACCATGCATCAATAATTATTATAAAGAGAACTTTACAAAGATTTACGAAAGTTACAAGTTAATCTTTTTCGCAGGTTTTAGAGGTTAAAGCCAGTAACAGAACCGGGGAGGAGAATTTTATGTCCTCCATGAGAAAGACATTACAGTCACACTACGGAGAGAAGCCGGTGGCGCTAGGGGGTGTGTTCCTGGTGGAGAAAGGAAAGGCAAACTTACACATCATGGTTAGTTGTGAAAAACCTTTCCTTAATTTCCATCAAATAATTTACTTATTAGATAATTGAAAGAGATATTGAATTCAACATTATCTCTTAAGTGTTTAAAGAAATATATATTCGATAAGCAAGATAAAAAATAAACATTCTGTATTTATGACCTCTCTCTCTCATCTCATTTGTTATGTTGGCTATATGATACTGTAAACCAATTTTTATTCGCGTGCGAGAAATATCCGCAAGTTTCGCGACCTACTTCAACCTGCAAATAGTAATCGCCACGAACCATTTATTTTGCTTTGTATTCATATAGAATAAATCCTCAGTCACAAAAATTAATCGTGGCGGATTGATTTCAAACTGACGAATCGCAAATAATAATTGGTCGTTTACAGTATAAAACAACAGCTTGTACATGTAATATATAAAAGAAAATAAAGCAGAAATTTCATTTACTTCGACACTTCACAAACACAGTATTGTTATATACATATGTAAAACAGTCTATATGCATTATCCATTACAGCCAGACTTTTCAGACAAACCTTTGGACTCCCAAGAAAAAGTTAACAGCTGGTTAAAGTTCTATGAAATGGATGCCATTCTGGTGTGTGTTGGGGAACTAGTGTCACATGACCCTGTAAGTATGAAGTTTCAAAAGGACTTTCTTCTTAAATTTGTTTTAGATAGTACATGTACTGAACAATATCTATACATAGAAGGACTCCTCTTTAACTACCCATGAAAGAGATTAGAATGTCATTTTCTCTTTATTCTGTTGAAGAGAAAGATGAAAGACAAAATGCATCACAAAATATCGTTTTTAAAATTTGATGATAAGGACAAGTTAAGAAATAATTCAAGACTAAAGTATGAATAAGAGCAAACAGAATTTATGCTGGTAGAATTAAATTCCAGCGAAAGGGCCGAAGGTGTCAGGCATATATCATAATCAGACTTTGAAGGTCAAAAAGGAATTTTCCCCAATAGAAATCTTTACCATTATGATGATTTTTGTATGCAAAGATATCTTGATTTTCCAGGGTTATGACCTGAGAGTTGAGCATTTCCATTGCTTCAGTGACCATGGACAGGGGGGTCACTACCACTTTGATGTCACCCCCGGGGACGTGGAATACAGAGGGTACTTTGTCTTGGCAGAATCTATTTATAGAATTGACCAGCCTGTACAAACCACTGAACTTGGAAGGTGAAGGATGTTATAATCTGTTATCACTTTGTTATCCACTTCCACAGTGCTGGTTAGGTTAAGGCATATTTGATTCCTTATGTACCGGTAATATTTTTTAAATTGTAGAATCTGTGATTTATTCTGTGATTAGTGATTGATTTGTGATTGAATTTTTTTTTTATTTGGAAACTGGTCCTGGTCGGTGTATTAACCAATTGAAATCTTGCTCAAAATATTACTCTTTATGTGTATTTAGTTTTATATGATCAGTATGGAGTGATCAGCCTGAAGTCCTGGAGTGTAAGAATAAAATACACCCAAATAAATACAATAATATGAATGAAAGGCCCTAAGTTTTATGTCCTAGGGCTTATGAAGTTGTTGCTTATTTGATCATTGTTTTAAGGTCATAGTATATGTATCATCAGTCACAGAATAAGATCTTGTGCAGAATCTGTTGGCAGCTATAATCTGTAAGATTACTTTGATTTTTCTCTAATATTTTAAGTCTGATTGATTATGCAATATTGTAGATTGTTTATTTTAATGTCAACTTTATAGTTTAAGTGTAACTTTTTAAACAATAATGTATTTGTGCAAGAAATTGATAATCAATGACTTTTTTGACAAATTTTTTTTTTGAGAAATTAAAAGTGAATGAACAATATTTTTTAAATAGTTCTTGATGTAAAAATGTCAAGGTATACCTTGAAAAAAAAAGTTTGAAAGCAATATGAGCTGCAATTTTCATTTGGGAATTTATTTTGGTAAAATTGTACATGTAATATTTTATTTTAATCACAGAGAAAATGCAAAATGATGGTTATATAAAGTTCTGTTATACATGTACATATTTTACAATTTTAAAAGAACTATTTAAAAGCTCATTGTCCTGTACACCAAGAGCTTTATTTCTTACATAGTATAAAATATAATTCTAGTACATGTACTGTGAATATAATTCCATAGTTACAGAAATCTTCCTTCTGATAAAATATAAAGCTTAGTTGTGGTCTTTTTTGATGAAAAAAAGTTTTGTGACATGCAACATTATACAACAAAATAAAATTCTCATAAATACAGCTCATATTGCTTTAAAAGAAGAAAGGCTATATTGTCATTTATTAAATCAGCATGCAAGCAACATTATGTAATATAAGTATACAATTCACAGCCACATTTGCCAAATTCCAATGGGTTCAGACTGACTTTGCAAAAGAGTTTAAATTTACATTAAGTTATGTATTTGAAAAATAATTTATCAACACCATGTTAAGAATAGAGACACAGTTTTATCACAGTAACCTGTGAGTGATCTGTGGAAAAGATTTTTTAGTTGTCCCACAGCTAGACGTGGAGACCGATCTTTCGGACGGTACTGTATAATCCGAGATCTCATGTCACAGTAGATGTTACCCCTCAAATGCCATAAGTGTCGAGTGCAGGTCTAAATTTGCATCTGTCATGTTGTACATTTTGAATTTACCTGGCGGCAGACTGGCAGCGAATACAAAATTTCCACCAGCAAGTTGCATCCCAACATGAGTTTCAAGAGGCGTATTTAAAGCAAACAACCAACCAACGTGAACCAATCAAACTCTGAAATCTGGGGGTCGTAACATAAAGGGTACTTAAGTCTAAGCCCATGCTTAAGTAGGACTTAAGTACAGTCTTAAACTTAAGACCGTAACTAGAAACGTGCTAAGATTTGACAATCTTAGCAAAACTTAGGCGGTCGGTAGAGGTGACTTAAGTATGTCTTAACTTTTTTATACACATAGTTAGAACTATAAAATGTTGAATCTCGGCGTTAAAACATTCCTCTATTTATGTTATGCATTAAAGAAAATAAATATCTCTATTATATACTGATATAAGAATTTAAGTTTTTCGTCGGGGGGGGGGGGGGGGGAGGTTCAGTTTTATTGATTACTGATTCCAATATCACACTCAACATGGCGTACTAGTACTTGTAGATGCATTTTTTTTTATTTTTGGGATACTTTTGAAATACTAGTGGGATCTAGGTTATAAACACTAATCATTATCAGTAAATTTTACACACTAATCATGGATTTTATGTTCATTGTGAACATGTGAGGTGGAATAGACTAAGAGTCAGAAAAATTGTCCGTGAGTTAGAGGATGATGACTAGGAAGCTAATAGAAAGTGTCTGTAAATAAGATTCAATGTAGAACTCGACAAGCGCGGATTCAGACGGGGGCTCACTACCGTCCGAGAGAGGGAGGGAGAGAGAGAGATAGAGAACTGTTGATAAGCTTGAGACATGAGAAAAATTATCTCTTGAAAACAATTCTTTTCGATCCTTGATTAAATTTAAATAAGTACATCAAAAACGTCTGCAGTCTTTGCTTGCCGATATTGGCTGATACATTGAGGAAAAAAGAATTCAAAATGTCCCTATTATTTAGTACTTCATTATTATTATTTTAATTTCAAGTAGATAGACGCCGTTCCGTTCCGTTAACGTACCATGTCTGCGAGAATGACAAAGCGAGTGAACATTTGTCAAACTAAAAGAATTACATCAAAACGTAAACTGAAAACATCGCAGTCTCGAGTGATTAACAAAACTCATGCATTTGCATTGAACCCTTGCCACTTTGTGAAATATTTATTTTCAAATATTAAGTATTATTTTTAACAGAATTATGATTTTAATACAAAATCTGAATAAATGTTACCTAACTAAAATTGTAGAAAGGACGTCGATTTTATATATAATTAAAACATGACTGAATATTTTTTTATCAATACAAGTAAATAAATTGAAAAACTATCGTGCTTCATAAGAAATATTGTGAACATAAGGTTGACTTAGCTAAGACCTCGCTTAGTTCGTTTTATGTTACGGTTTAAGACATACTTAAGCAGTACTTAGGCAGGTCCTAAGATTGCGCCTAAAACATACTTATGACCCTACTTAAGTCAAAAACTTAGCAAGCTTTATGTTACGACCCCCTGGAGTCTACCAGAGAGAGCGTTTGCTCTTGGAACAAGATTGCAGTTAGTCAAATTACGTGTTACACTGGGAAATTCTCGTGTATTTTGAATATTTTTAATCACCGTTCTTGTCCAATTAATCCTTGTTAGATCATGCACTGTACATTTAATGCGTATGACATTTATTTCGATATAAAGGCAACACCTCTCGGTTGAGCATTTTTTGTCTTTAATTGCAATAGGTTATGCACAAGTGCGCCATGCAGTACCATTAAAAAGATATTCTGAACTAATTTACTCATTAGAATTATTGGTACAGAGCCGTGAATATAGGGCTGGAAACATTAACTAATATTGCTCCGACGCCACATTGAAATGTTGTAGACCCACCCGATATGATTGGTGAGTAGTGTTAGGTCATCCTCTAACAAGATAACGATGTCACTATGGGTAAATAGTACATATATAATATACAAGTTGTTTACCGACTCGTATTATATCTGCAGTTTTCTCACGCTCAGTGCATAAACGTGATGGTTTTTTACATCAGCTATATATTTGTAGCGCAGAAACTATTCCTCTTGTAAGTCTCATTTTAATAAAGAGTATTGACCTATAAATAACTATTAGTATGTACATATTTTCCTGTTGTAATGGAATTATAATAAGTACGTTCACATGTTTACTGGTAATAAATAACGAAAAAAGAATGCAACTTGGCGAGAGAAGGAAGAAAATACTATACGTGCAGCAAAAATACACGTGACTCTGTGTAAAAAAAAATTCTGATTTAAATACAGTCATTGGCATACTTGGGCAATTTATCATGGGAATAAATTAAAACTATTTAAAAGCCTTATATGTAAGATAAAAGTAAATAAGAGGCCCATGGGCCACAATGCTCACCTGAGTCACTGGTTCTGCAGTTCCCCCAAAATACATGTATTCTTCTGTATTTTTGATCGCCTTTTGTGGCCCCGCCCTATACACCAGGGCTATAATTCTAACAAAAATGGATCTCCACTACCAGAGGATGCTTCCACATTAATATGCTTCATCATGGATTTGCTCTTGAGGAGTTTAAAACATTTTCCCCTAATAATATATAATCCCTATTGTACCCCCCCCCCCCCATTCCCAGGGGTCATGATTTGAACAATTATGAATCTACACTACCTCGGGAAGCTTCCACATAAGTTCCAGCTTTCCTGGTCCAATGGTTCATGAGAAGAAGATTTTTTAATGACCTCACCCTTATTTGCCCTTTCTTGCTTATCTCCCCTTGGAAGGGGGCTTGGCCCTTCAATTTAAAAATTTAGAATTCCCTTCACCCAGGGATACTTTGTACCAACTTTGGTTAAAATTGTTCCAGTGGTTCTTGAGAAGAAGTTGAAAATGCGAAAAGTTTACAGACAGACGGACGGACGCATGACAACGGGTGAACAGAAAAGCTCACTTGAGCTCTCAGCTCAGGTGAGCTAAAAAAAAAGGGGGGGGTCAAACATGTAAATTGAAAAAAGTATACAGTAATTAATAGAAAGGCATTATTAATTATAAGATAGAACTGGGTCAAATTTTACTGATAAAGTACACGTGTGTAAAATATTGTTTCCGGCCCGAAGCAACGGTTTTAGAAAAGGGGGGGGGGCAACTTCCAAAAAAAAAACTGACAAGCAAAAAAAAGCTAATATATTGTACAAATCCCAGAATTTGCCTGTACTTGACCTTACAACATGAAAGGGGGGGGGGGGGGCAACCAGCATCTATAGGAAAATTTACTATAGCAAAATACTATACTCAGAAAAAAGTGGGGGGGGGGCGCCCCCACCCCCCTCCCCATGGCCCCCCATGTTCTACGGGCCTGTGTTTTATATATTATACATGTATGATCAGTGGTGATCGATCATGATTAGAGCCCATTGTGTCTGATGGGTGGATATTCATTTGGGTCACAAGTTAGAGTGAGTTTCTCTTTTTGTGATGGATTAGAAACAAACATAACATAAATGAATAAAATAATTCCAATTTCTTTTGTACAATAAATATATTTTTTGTCATCTCATGCAAGCAAATTACACACACCTATACACAATATCATCAGTGAAATGACTGTAGGCTACAGCGCAATCCCATTCTTCTTTAGTAGTGACTTATTAACCTGAAAGTTAACTTTAAAACAATATACAATTATATTCGACCATGAAGTTTACGTGAACAGCCTAAATTACATTTAGACCATTCCATTATAACTGGTATGTCCTTGCGTTGAACGTCCTTAAGGCCCGTAGAGAGGTTAATGTCCAGAACATGATGTGAACGTGCCGTGTTAGAATTCGGATGACATCGTGTGGAAGTCGTTCTCATTTCAATACACACCATACGACTGATATTAGCGGATGTACAATGAGTGCAATCAACTATGTTGAGAGATTGAATACAATAATTACAAAATTATTTCATAGGAGTCATGGCCGTAGGAACCGGGAGGGGCACAGGGGGATTCTCCCCTAATAATTAAGCCTATATATACTGTAAATCGCGTGTTATTCGCGAGAACTATTTTCGCGTAATTACGCGAGACCGTCTCCTCGCGAAAATTATTTTTCTTAGTAAAGATTATGTAGGAAAATTGTCAAAATTGGGTCTCGCTTATAAATGCCAAATAAT